CTGCCCAGCCAACCCCCCCCCCCCACTTTGCCTCGCCAGGGCTGTCGGTGAAAACACTGTTACATAATAACTGAAAAGTTCTGACTTCCCAGACAAAACCACGGTGAAATTATTTCAATGAATACACCGTTTCTGTCTTTGCACAGGAATTTTCCTGTTCTGCTTATGAGCATGGTTTTTCAGGTGCAGGAGAAAGGCACCTCCCTGATCTCTGGGGTCAGTCTGGGTAAAGAGAGCCAGGTCAGGTGGTCCAAATATTCAACCCCTTTACATAGCAATACCACACTGTAAAAAATACTCTATTACAACGCTATTATTGTATTATTTTTATTAATATTATTATTATTATTATAACAAATGCATTAATGTTGCTGGTTCAGGTGGAGCACATTTTAACACTTTTCTATACTGCAGGTAGTTTGATAACAATGTGTCATCTTTTATAAACAGATTATATGGTTTTTACATTAAATCCTAATCTGAAACATAAACCAGCTGACTAAAGACAAGATGTAAAGGAGTACACAGAGTGCTATAAAATACTTTAAATTGGAATCGATAACTTGATTAGTCAACTAATCAATTCAGTGATTGATTGACAGTTTAGATGAAGTTTTGATAAGAGAGTCATGAAGATTAATGCTTTGTGTAACAGTAAATTGAACATCTTTGAGTTTTGGACTGCTGGTTTGGCTAAAGAAAATATTTAAAGAAATATTTAAGGTTGGCTTTCAGGAAATTGTATTGTCTGATGATTTATTGACCAACCAATTAAGTGATTAATTGAGAAAATAATCTCCAAAGCCCAATACTTCAGTATCTTAAAATTGTATTTAAATACAGTACTTGAGACAAATGCACTACACTATATACTGCTCTCATTTAGTGCAGACAGATAAATACATGCAACAGGTGAGGAAGAAGTCATTTTTTTTATTTTTAAATGTTTATGAGGTAAAGCCATGGTAACAGTGGTGTGACAAAAAATAACTTTTTCTAACTGTAATAACTGTTACCATGACTTTACCTCATAAACATTTATACATCTCTAAAATATCTGATCAAATTTCAAAAACTGAGTTGTTGTGTTTCTGGCTTTGTGACCATGTCTGATTTATCAAATCATAAAACTATTCACTCAGATTTTTTTCTTTCAGATTGTTCCTTTATTCCTATTTATTTCCCAAATTAACAATGTCATAAGATTACAATTACAAGATTGATTTAGGAAAAAAGATAAGTGGGCAAATTTGTCAAATAATTCTGGGGAAAAAATGTTCATAGCATTTACAACAACATTTTGCATATAATAGATTACAGATATTAAGTTATTAAGATACTGTTGATAGTTCCTGTTTTGCCAATGCAGTTTTCCTGTTTTGCACATTGTTATTGTTGTAACACTTATAACTAATGAATCATCTCTTCAGGCAGTGAATACTGTATCTGACAACTGCAATGCGTCCACACAAGTGAGTCCATCTTTAGGTGAATACCAATAGGTGCCAGCTCTAACCTCAGGTCTGACACAGTTTTCATACATGGTATTTCAAAGCAACTTGCAAAGATAGCTTTCATTTTGACTAAACTGGGGTTGCATTGATGACGGTGCTACTAAATTATATTTCTTTGTGTTTATATTTCATGTGTTTTTTCCTCCCTGTGGCATCCAGTGCTTCTATGATGCTGGGCTGCAAACACTGTGCACCAGAAGCCTCTTTGGCTTTTCATCATGCCACCACTAGAGGGCATAAAGTAGCCTGGGGGAAGATTTAATTAACCCAGGAGCCTTCAGAGATTGTATTCATTAGTAAGAACTGATTTTTTTTTTTTTTTTTTTTTACCATTAAAGGCAATAAAAGCCACAAAAAAAAAGACTTATTGTAGTTTCATGTTCTTTAAATGTCAAGGGTTTTAACATTTTTATTTTACAGATAATACATTTTGCAACTATTATATACAACTACTATATATTATACATCTACTATATATTATACAACTACTATACAGTTATTTTTCATTTATTAAATTGTGCTGATGTGCTTTTGGATTTCAGGATTGTGTTGTTTAGTTTTTATGCTGAATGTATTGTGCTTGTTTGTGTTTTCTTTGTCTTCTACATCTTGGGACCATGTTGGAAATAAGTGTTTTCACTTTAACCTGTTATCATTTAGACTTATTTTTCTGCCTGATGATCTATAAAATCAATCAGTCAATCAATCATGTCCTGTTCTGGATTCGACTTCAGCTGCTTTTTTATATGCAACAGGTCGAAATGTGTACCATTGTCTGGGTTATAGAATAGAGAGACATATATCAACTTGTAATAAATAAGTAGTGTGCTGTGACATGTCGACAAAATGAATCCTTAGTTTTGGTTGGTTGATCTTCCAAAGATTTGTAAAATGTGAGTTATATTAGTAAAAACGACACATAAATTATAATATGTTATGTCCTATCTTATATTTTATTTCCCTATTTCATTATATAGGGTGAGTAAACATTTATGTATTATTCAGAGCAATAACTGTAAGTTGAATATTATTTATTTTAAAAATACAAAGTTCTAAATGCTTCTCTTAAAAATCACCCACCAAGGTACAAAGTCGTTAAAGATGCTGTCAAGTAAATGCTGCACCATTGAGGTAGACTCATTAATAAAAAACTAACACATGCCTCATGCTGCAGCTTTCCACATTTCAGGGTGCAAAAAACAAAACAAAGTCACAGCTCCCCATTTTTCGTGGCTGGATTTTTTATTTATTTATTTATTAATTTATCTTTACTTTTTTTGCTGCATGCGCGTCCGCAGCCTCTATTAAAACCCCATTAAATTAGGGGTTACAAGAGTGCATCCCCCCCCCATTCAACCGCTGCTACACAAAATGGTGACAACATACGTCCAAGCCCGTGTTGTGGTGTCAGCCAGCGTCCTGTC